AATGTCTTAAGTAATCAAATCCCATAAAAAAGTTCAGTTATAACAATATTATTGGATAATATCAGTATCACGTTATTAGATTAACAAATTATACTAATTTTATATAAGTACAAATAGAATTACTGTAAATATGAGGTCCTGAATAGAAGGCCTCTTATGCCATTTGCATATTTACATGGCTAGGTTGGCCTAAAGTGGTTTTTCATTTTTGCTAGTTTGGACCCACAAATTGCTCTTTTTGAATGATTTTCAAAAGCTAGCACGTTCTAAATTCTTTTCTTTGTTTAGTAACCGTTAATTAACTGTATTGATCAAAACCGGATTAGATTCAATTGAAGCATGATTAAAGCTGTTTAGTTATCATCAAAAGCTAACTACCCTTTGCTGATTATATGGCTGCCAATACAAATAAACCCTTCTAAAGGTGTAGATATAATGACATGCATGTAGCAAATTATGTTAAGACTTGTTATATCATTGTTTAATTTATCACCACATGAAACTAAAACAGTTATTCCCTTTTCTGTTTTCTATTTCTTCTGGCTATATGTATGGTGCCCACCCATGATATATATTCGAACAACACCATTGATGGTATATGAAGCTGAATAATCGTTCCGTCCGATCTTCGTCTTTTTTTTTTTATTTTTATATTAAAATAGTATGTCGGAATCCATGGCACCACCACTCGGACTGGGTGGAGATGAATATGGAAATCCAGCGTCAATCTTGGGCCTGCTTTTTTGTTGCATGTGAAGTCCATAAGTGTTGATTTTTATGTGTTCATATCATCCCCCCATCCCTTTAATTAGTTTATCTAGAATTTAATTCAGTACATAACTTACCTTATTTAATTCAGGAAATAACTCAACTTTTGTACCCTAACCAGATTACAAACACAACCCGCCTCTTCTATATATTCAGCTCTCCCCATACCCACTTTTCTCCCACACAGCCATAGCCATTTCTCATCACTAAAAACACAGCAATATGGCTCATATTGGAGATAACATTGTTGTGTCCAACAAGAAGCTTGAGAGGATGCTTAGCATGAAAGGAGGCCAAGGAGAGGCTAGCTATGCCAATAACTCCCAAGCCCAGGTTCCTTAACCCTAATTTTAATTTTTCCTTTTGCTCTCCTACATCTCTTAGTAAGCCTATATGGCCTTCTTTTATATCTAATTAAGTAATCGAATTATGAAACAGGTTTCAGGACTGAATATTTGAAATATATAATCCTTAATTGCTTACCTTTTCCAAGTTTCTGATACAGTCGGAGCCATTCAACAGATATTTTGTAGAAATTTGTAGACCCATCTTACTAATAACAAATTTTCAGAAAATTATTGTTTTCAATGTATCAAACATGCAGGTTTGTCTGATTCTTGGGCTTTTCTTTGGTTCCTTTTAGGATAGAGGTTAACAGGTCTTCTTTTTTATTGGATTAGGTGATCTGCCATCCTTCTTGTCTTTTATCTTGTTGTTGCTTGTTTGTGTTTCTTGCTTGTATTTTTTGTAAATATCTGTTATGCATATGGTGTACATATATTTATCTTCGATTTTATAAAATCACTTACTTACCCAAAAAAAAAATACAATTAGTTTGTATCTAGCATTGAATCAATGGTTTTGTTATTGTATGCAGTCCATTAGTATAGATATGTTTAAGGGGTGTGTCAGTGTGCAGTTTCACACAGTAAGATTGTTCTACTGTCACTTGGGTTGGGTATCACAGCTTAAGTCTTGGAAATTGCCTTTTTCGTTCGTAGGAATAACTATAAGGTTTTGTTCATCTAACTCTCTCTAAATCCTCAACCCTCAATAACGGAACCAGAATCTCGGACGTTGAATTGCCTTAAGTATGACAACTTTCAAATGCTAATTTGATTATCGTCTAATCTCTGTCCATGTTCATGGGTGCAGGCTCAACATGCTCGATCGATGCTCCACCTACTCAAAGAAACCCTAGATGGAGTCCAGTTAAACTCGTCGGAAGTTCCCTTTGTCGTCGCCGACTTGGGATGCTCAAGTGGCAGTAACACTATTTACATCGTCGACGTGATCATCAAACACATGATCAAGCGATACGAGGCCTTAGGGTATGAGGCACCTGAATTCTCGGCTTTCTTCTCCGACCTCCCTTCTAATGATTTCAACAATCTCTTTCAGCTCCTCCCTCCTTTAGCCAATCATGGGGGTAGCATGGAAGAGTGCCTAGCCGCCGATAACCATCGTTCCTACTTCGCTGCCGGAGTTCCCGGCTCCTTTTACCGGCGACTCTTTCCGGCAAGATCGATTGATGTTTTCTACTCTGCTTTTTCACTGCACTGGCTCTCTCAGGTATTCTTAATTCTTACCTATTTCATTATAACTTATGTTTTTAAATTATGTCCCAATAGCATTAGTGTAGAACTTTAGTATTTCTCTGTGGCCAAATGTATTTTACTTGGTGGAAAATAATAGACATAATGATAAATTAACATAAAATAGATAGTTCCCGAGGATGATATTCCCCTCATCTACTATAGATAAATCACAGGATGATATATGTAATGTATAAACATCTTTCGTTTTTCTTTTGCTAGGTCAAAAAGTTAATGCACTCAATTATGCCCATGGTTTGATCAAAACCACTTTTCTTACATGTTCAGGACCAGGCGTGTATGTGTGTGTGTGAGAGAGAGAGCTAAATAGAATTATCTTTGACGTCTGTTCATCACTCTAGGACTGAATGTTTCTCCCTGTTGGACCAGGTACCAGAAATGGTGGTGGACAGGAGATCAACGGCGTATAACAAAGGAAGAATATTCATCCACGGTGCAAATGAGAGCACAGCAAATGCATACAGCAAGCAGTTTCAGACTGATCTAGCTGGGTTTCTTAGGTCAAGATCACAGGAGATGAAGAGAGGTGGGTCGATGTTCCTGGTATGCCTAGGGAGGACTTCTGTGGATCCCACAGACCAAGGAGGGGCCGGCCTTCTCTTTGGGACCCACTTTCAGGATGCATGGAATGATCTTGTCCAAGAGGTAATCATATTAAATCATTCTAATTTACAACTAGGGTTTGAAAATGTGAACAGTGGACCGACCATACTTTATGTTGTACTATTGCCTCGGCAGACGTACCAAAAAGGTGTAAACCTGGCCCTCTAAGCAAACAATTGTGGCCGTCCGATTCAATCGTTGGCCCCATCTGTTTGTCGGCAACAACCATGTGGTCAATGGCTACCAATATTGATTGAAGTCTTGGAAGCATAATCATAATCGTGAAAAGTGGCCACTTTAATCTGTCAGATAATAGTTCATCAAATAGGCAAATTTTACTTTATTCAAAAAATTAAAAAAAAATTTGATACCTACGATGAATTATTATTTTATGAGTAAAATTATAATTTTTTAAAAAAAATTATAACTGTTTAAAGAAAATTAATTATCAATCATGAAAATATTGGTATTAATTTTAATTTGTTATGATTGATAATTTCTTTTAAAATTATAATTTATATTTTTAAAAACTTATAATTTTCTCAATCGTATCCCGTAACCTTTCCCCGTCAAATAAGGATAATGTGGGACCAAGAACGTCCTTGCAAACAAGTATCTTCTTTTTCATCATCTCTAATCAGGAATATTGTACGGTGATGATCTAAACAGTTCCATTGTCAGGATGGATGTCATGAGCTGCAGTAAATCAATACAGGAGTATATATGGCATGCATGTAGAGAAAAGGATGGCGGAGGGGGAGAGAAAGAGGGGAGGGGGGGGGGGGGCAGTGGCCTATGGGGAGCCGTTTACAAGATGGCCTAGGCTATACTATTACAGTCTAATAATCCACTAAAATTAAATTAAAACACGTCAATTCGATCCGTCTCAATTTGATATCACGTGTTACAATTGTGTGTAAAATTATGGGCCTAGTGGTAGAATCGCAGTGAATGTGTTTTTTTCCAAACAAAAAGAAACTATACAAAATATTAATTGCACCATGTGCACCATACAGGGCCTGATAACTAATGAGAAACGGGACAACTTCAACATCCCAGTGTATGCACCGAGCCTACAAGAGTTCAAGGAAGTAGTCGAAGCCAATGGCTCATTTACCATCAACAAGCTTGAAGTTTTCAGGGGAGGTAGCCCTCTAGTGGTTAACCGTCCCGACGACGCTGCCGAGGTGGGTCGAGCTCTAGCCAATAGTTGCCGGAGCGTGAGTGGTGTATTAGTTGATGCCCACATTGGAGAGTGGCTGAGTGAAGAGCTGTTCTCGCGAGTTGAGTGCCGAGCCACAGGCCATGCAAAAGAGCTTCTGGAGCAGCTACAGTTCTTTCACATAGTTGCATCTCTTTCTCTTGCATAAAGAAGAAGCAAAAACATATCCACATGCAAAAGAGAAGGAAATACTCTCTCTCTCTCTCTCTCTCTCTCGTGTGTTGTTACTGACTGTAGTTATTCTTATACTCAATGGATTTTGTGCTTTTCGTGTTCCCTTAGTCAAAACAGAGTAAATAAAAGTCAGTAAACTCTCTTGATTTCACTTCCTTTATGGGTCTACCTATCTACTAGTAGAATTTATGGGTTTTGCTTTTTGTACATCAGTTTCTTGTGAAATGCTATTTGATTTCTGACATGTTCTCTTTTGTTTTCTTTATCTTTTTAGAAAAAAATAAGTTTACCAACTAATACGATTCAATGAACAATTTTGAGATCAATTTTAACAGTTCCAAATTAATTAAGATTTAACGACATTGTGAATATTGAGATTGATCGTAACAAATTAGTATCGATTCCGAATATTTTGAATCAGTGCTAACTAATATTAGCCACACTAACTTTTGTTAAAGCCCATGTTGTGTCCTCTCCGGAACAATATTCTGTTCCTACACATGAATTGAGACAATCTTTTTTGTCAACTTTGCAAGGTAATATTCAAGCTTTAAACCCTGAATTGTTGCCATTAGGTTCAGCAGAAGCAGATTAATTAAGGATAATCACCATGATGAACTGGTTAACCTCATTCCCCTACTATATTTAGGTCAAGTCAAGAAGTTTTTCGAGGGAAATGTCAAGCAATAACTTAAAAATTGGACACGATGATATAGTTGTTATATTTGTCTTTGATTTAACTTGCGTATCTTAGTATTTATTAGGATCTATTACCTATTCGATGTCCAATAATATTGATTCAATAAGTCAAAATTTTAAATTAGCCTTTTTAGTCTATTCAACATTTTCCGAGAAATGTCATAACTACGTATCTTTTTCCTTCTTTAAATATATAATCAAAAGGACAGTTTTTCTTCTCCTTTTGGTAAATTACTAAATTTCAAGTTTGTCATTGCCCAGGGAAAAAATATTTATATACCAAATAGTTTCTGCAGTACTCTCTCTTTTTGAATAAGTAATAATTTCTCTTAGAGAATAAATTTTTTACACATAGTTAATCAAAATTGAGGAATTATACAAATTCACTAGGAATCGCAACATTGATTTATCGGTTTGTGTAATTTATCAATTTTAATTGGCCCTCCCTCTCTCAGATATCTCTTTCTCTCCCAAAAAAAGATACAGTAGAAGTTTTTTGTTATTTCTCGAAATGTGTGTTGTTTGATGAATCCAATATGAATATATCAGCAACTTCAGGCAGTTTGAATCTGACCCTTTTCTTTATCTTCCCACTTTGGCTTCTGCTAAATGAAGTATCCTCCATTTCACCTCTATCAACCTTCAGAATCATAGACCTATCAACTGAGAAACTCTCTCTATGTCCAGAGCTAGCGGCCAAGACTTCAAAGTCTCCATGTCTTGATGGATAAACCCTACCTGGAAATTCTACAACACCACCACCAATATTATATTCTATTGATCCATTGGTACTGCAACCTTTGTTGAACCCCGGTGAAGCTACGAGCCATTCCTGTAGCGTTATCTGATTGGTATATTTCAACAGCTGATGCTGATGCTGATGCTTTTCTGGCCTCTGCAACTGCCTGCAGGTCTTCTTCTTTTTAATGGGTGTCCAGAGGCATCTCCGCTTCAAGAACTCGACAATGGCAGCTCTTAACCCAACATGATGATAAACAGACTCTTGTTTTAGGATCGAAACCACATATGTTTGCTCCCATTTCTTCTTCAAAGATGAATTAACTTACCAATGAACGAAACACCAGGTTGAAGATGGCTTTTATAAGCCATGTGTTGTTCTATATAAATCAGATTATAAAGGATAATTGGGCGAGTTCGCCAAAGAGGGACGGTTTCCCATGAATCCAACTGAAAGATAACAAGGATAACACCAAATTGAAGCAGTAAAGTTACCATTTACCCCCATAGAGGACTTTAGTTATATAAAATTAGAAAAAAAATGGTATTTAGAACTAACATGAAGATTGAGTTTTATAATTCGAATATAATATATTCTAAATTAAGATGTTTTGAGTTCAAATATTAACAATTTTTTAGAGTCAGGGTATGAGACAATTATTCTTCGTGAATACCTTAACCCTAACCCTAATGGGGATGTCTTATTTTTGACCAGACTATGGAAGGAATTAGTCGAAATCAAAGACGAGAGTGTGGTGGACTAACATATCCAACCTTTTTCTAGGCCAGGCATGCAGTGTCAAAAATATTGCTGATAATAACAAAGACAGGTTTGTTTATTTCACTAACATGCATAAAGATAATGACGAAGAGACAAAGCTTCTCGCTTGAAGATGACTAATAAGCCTTGTTCGGTTGTTCCCATATCTATGTTGCTTTGGTCTAGGAATGGCTCCCAAGATTTGACAAGAATCTACTGAGAGAGCCCTTTGATGACTCAGCTTAAGAAACCACCACATACCACGAGAAAATAGTGGATATGAGACTGATATTACGTCATTGTCGTCATTATTATTATTATTATTATTATTATGTGGTGTTATCATTAAATATTAAATTAATATGTAAATAAATGGACCCTACTTATTTTATGAGCACAAAAAATGTGCACCAAAATTTGTAACAAATCACTAATAGTCGTTGGATTATCACTAATTAAACGTTCAAGTTTTGCTCCACAAATTTGATGTATAAAGAATTATCTTTTTAAGAGTAATGTTATTGAGATCTAAAAATCTGACATAATGATGTTATTTCATTATAACCATTGAATTAATTTCAAGTTGTAATATTTAATGGAATTTACAGTTAATTCAAACACTATAGTAAATTACGTGGTCAGCACAAGTTTTAAGGTTGTCCATGGATCGAGTTGGCCACTATTTTGGGCCGGCCAACCCAAGTCCAAATACGTCATATCCATGGTGTGGGCCACAGAGGATTCTCAGATGTGAGCTGGCCAGTGTTCCCGGACCCACCAACCAGCCCAATTTAATTTTAATTTTTTTTTTGAAGTTATTGTTAATATAGTTATCAAAACCAGACCGAAAATCAAACTGACAGAAGGACTGGATCAATGGTTTAGTGGTTCAACTACGGGGCCAACTGGTTGGACCGGTCGAATAATAAAAAGATAAAAAATTATAAAATATAATAATTTAGCTAAAAAAATATAAAACATGTACCTAATAGATATAATTTACCATAAATTAATTAAGTATAAAAAAAATACCTGCGTTAAAAATGAAAAATACTGTGCTCAAGAATCCAACTTTCTCAAAGCATCAACCGTAGAAAAAGACATGATTCAAGTGGTTGGTTTATATAACCAGCTGCCATCTCCGAGGATCAATTGGTAGAGCCATGTTGAGGCCTCAGACCAAGTAACCAACAGCGACTGTTGAACAGCCTATTGTGATACAAGAGAGGGGAAAGAGAGAGAGAGAGAAGACCTCCACTCAGTTGAAGCTTGAAGGAGGAGCGAAAAAGCTTGAAGAAGCAAGAAGCTTGAAGGATCGAAACTGTGAAGCCTAAAAGACCGCTAACGAAAGCTGTGACCTGTGAAGCTTGAGCAAAGAGAGATCGAGTGAAGGAGTTGCTCGATCAAACCTGAGTGGAGAAGACGATGGAGTGAAGCTTGATCTGTGAAGTTGTGACCTGTGAGACTTGGGCTTGGGCTGCTTTGAATCTGGTCAAGTCCACTAACACTTGAGTGGAGAAGACGACGAAGATGATAGAAATTGAGCTAAAATTAAAGATTTGGGGGTGTTTTGGGGGTTTTTATTAAAAATGCTGTAAAAACACCCAATTTGACTACACCGTCTGGTTTACGATTTTTGTCATTGACAATTTTATTTCGGTTTAACTCCTTAAGCGGTTCAACTTAAGAACCGGACCGGCTGAGGTCTCGGTTCAAAGTTTAACAGGTTCCGATAACACTTCTATTCTTTATAAATTAAATTAGACTTTTAAACTAAAAAATTACAATTTTCTGGGTGATATTTTATTATTATTTTTTTGCATTAAAAACAGTCTATGAGGCCAACCTGGCCCACACATGAACCCACCTGACAACAATAGTCGCGGACTATGAACTGGGCTGTGACGCAGAACACTTACCCAATACTGGCTCGGCCCGCTGCCTTTAGCTGTACAGGCTTGAGCCAGTAGGCCATGGACAACACTATTTACAAACCAAACAGTTTCTACTCTCCTCTGAAACCTACACCCCATAGACAAATCAACCTGTCAGCTGTGTAATAGAAACCCATCACAAGTACACAATGAAATGTTTTACCATTATTAGCTTAGGACATGAATATATCATCACACAATTCAAGAAAAAGGATTCGCCCATAATACAACTTTTTGACTTTTCGTGAATTAAATCCGATGAAATTTACATGTGATATGACACAAAACACACAAAATAAAAAGAACCGCTGGAACAAATCCCATATCTGTAAAAAAAAAAAAAAAAAAAAAACTTATTGAGCAGCTGATGGATTCGTCAATAGTTCAAGTGATTTTTTAAGGTGCTCCACAGCAACAGAAACATCATCAAATGCCAGAGCCCCAACAGCAAACCTTGCTGCCTTGTGTGCCTCAGCGATTTTCTCAGGTGGTGGCTGGTAATTGATGTCATATTGGTATGATTGTGATGAAGTTGGCGCAGCAGCAGGAACAGTCCCATTTCTGTCACTGGTACTGTATTGTGTGGTCAATGGGTAGTTCGTCATATTAGGAGCTGCAGGGGTGGAGTAAGAAGCATCAGTGCCCTGATAATAAGATGGATAATGAGATGGAGCTGCTGGAAGGCTACTCTCCGTAAAACTTGGGTAAGATTGGAAATTGGGATATGAGTTGGGGGGAATATCATGAGAAGAGTAATCGTGAGGCAACTGCTGTTGGGGTTCTTGTGGGTAGTGTTGATTGTGATATGGCTGAGAATAAATAGAATTTTCTGATCTGTCGGTCGAAAGAGGTTGATGGAGATTATGGGAAGGATACTCTTCAGTAGGATAAGGAGATGAAGGTGGAATGTTTGAAGGAGATGAAGGTGGAATGTTTGAAGCAGCAGATGGCGAAATTTTTGCATAATGCTGGGGGTTGTTGAATTCATCGTACAGCTCAGGTCGTGCATCAGAATCTGGTGCAGGTTTAATAGCTGGATCTGTTCTGCTCAGTTCAAGATCCTGCGAAGACAGTAAATAATTAGAATTACCTCATAATGCATAACTTCTCTTTCCTCAGTAGTGCTCTGCATTAGATACTCTGTAACTAAATAAATCATAGTGAAACCAAAGTTCACTAAATTTGTTCTCAATGTCAAACTTTTTTGTTGAGTACTTTAAGCTTCCCATAATGGCACTGACATTTTCATCATCCTAAATGGCGATTAAATATGTATAAAATGCTGCTCAAAGGTGAAGATAGGGTGAGTAGCCAAAAATCTCCAGAGTTATCAGAAGTCACAAAAGAAGTATTACTTAAATTGGTTCAATCCTCCGCAAGTTTTGGGAAAATAGCTACATCCATTGACACCATGCAATGGATATCAAAGGAGAATCCTACGAAACTGGCATACAATTCCATGTAGGTCACCACTATCACTCCCCATATGGTTTAAACTATCAGCAAGCAAACCACACACTTTTTCCTCACATTTTAATGATGACCACATCCTTCAGCTCAGCTAAATCAATGAATATTACAAGTATAGAGTCATACATATTCATTAATTTGTGTACTTGATGGCATTGATAAACCTTCACCACCACTAGGGGGGCCTGGTACAGGTTTCTTTCCTTCTTTCAGAGCTTTTCTTATATCAGCAGCTTTCCATACTGCATACTTCTGTTTCTCCTCGAGCTGTAAAAGGTCATAAAAAGGGAGAACTGAGCCAAAAATAAATGAAAACAACATACATAGCTAATAAACCATCAATATGGAAATTAATAATACAATAAAGAAAAAACTCACATCAGGCTGAAGTTCACCAAATTGATTAAGAACTTCAAAAAAAATGCTTGCAGCATAGAAAGTCTTTGCAGTATTCCTGTTACAAGCGCCAAATGCATTAGCAGTCAAACAACTGCTCTATAAGGGGCATTATAACATTTTCCCACCAAACTGCTCTATAAAGGGCATTATAACACAATTTAAAGTTGGCTATGAATCTATGATAACATTTTCCCAGCAAACTGCTCTATAAGGGGGGCATTATAATGTCAGTGCATTCTTACCACTTAAAGAACCTAGGAAGGGAACCCCAACAAGAAATAAGCCATGAAAATTTTAATGCAAGCATAAAATAGTAAAGGTAGCGTAGCAAGAATGTTCATTGGCACGCGCAGCAGCTGGCAACTACTAACAAGCTACAAGAATTTTTCAGTGGGGTAACTAACATGAAAAATAAAATGTAACCTAGTTCCTATATATCTTTTATCCCACCATAAGCTCTTAGTTTAAATAAATTTTTAATTGGTATTTTGTGACAAGATCCCTTGTTAAGGTCTGATGCACAGATCATACAGAAAGAACTCAAGGCACGACAATTATTTCTAAGCACCCCAAACTTTGAGGTATAGAGATAATACCTATAGTTGGCCCTCGGGGCAAAAAGTGAGCGACACAGACATAATTTAGAAATGGACCACAAGAAGAAAGTATTACACCTAATTAAATCTTTATAAGTGAAACACTTATTGCACAGGTCTGATTCCTATTAAAATAATACAACTTAACAAAAAATCATACAAATCTGCTCGCCCAGACCGATCTTGCTTGTCTGCTTTTGCAAACACGTTCAAGGCAAATCCCTCCAGGTGCAAATGGTCATCAGGGCTCAACTTCAGCGACTTCTTATCCTGTAAAAGAAACCCAACATTACGGACACCGCTAGAAATGTATCTTCAGATAGTGACTGACCATGAATGAACTTGGATGGGTCTCCCATCATTAGTTTTCAAATAAGAAGTTTCAAGTCCCAAAAACAAACCTCTTACTGTCCAAAGAGAAAACAAGAAATTGGTAGTATCTTAATTTTCACATATTACATTATGCAATATACACAAGCATAACAATAAACACCCAGCCACCCAAAAAATACATGCACTTCTTCAAAATTGATTGGAGAAGAAAAGAATAGAAATTTAAAAAAAAAAAAAAAAACTACACAATCTCGAGCAAGGTTATAAATCTCAGTTTTAACTTTTAAGAAATTCAAAAAAGTGGTTCGAAACATTCAAAGCTATAATAGCTGGAAAGATCGTACAACAACAAATAATGCAATTCTCTCCAACTCTAAATCTCTGACTTCACTCAACAAAGGACCCATAAGTTTGCAAGCTCCAACCAACAACAGTAACCATAATTACGATAGTCAGCTGTGGAGAGGAAAAAGAAAAGTTGAAAAAATCAATCATATGATCTTATGATTTGGGAGCCATGAAAAGAATAACCTTCTATTCTGAGGCACCCTGAAACAAACTTTTTGGCCCACTAGAGTTGAGTTTCTACTTTTGGAAGCTAATTCAACCTAAAAACGCATCCAAGCTTTTGGGTTTCCTTCTTTTTTCTTTCTTTTTGTTTTTTTGAGAGGAAGCGAATGGTTCTATTAACCGAAAGGATTACAACAGATTCGATAAATTCGATTTTCTTACACCTCAGTTTTCTGAGCAACCAAACAGACCCAGATGATTATAAGGCGATGAAAAGTACTCAAACATTAATTAGAGGTCTACAAGTTATTTCATATAGTCTCCGGTCAAGTACCAGAGAAGGCTCAAAAAATACCCCAAAATTTTACTTAACCGAAAAAAAAGGCTCAAAATTAAACTAAAAGACAAACATAAAAACAGATAATTGACCTTCTCAAGTTGTTTCATAAGAGAAATAAGGAGGGCATTGGTAGTTTTAGTCCGCTCAGCTTGGGGAATCGTTAACCCTCGTTCCATTGCATACAATCGACCTGAAAGAGATGGCAATAATCCGAGTAAAACTATGTCGAATTCTAAGAAAGCAGTGAAAAAAAAAAAAAGAAGGGCTAAAAGGCGATTTCTAATAGCTGGAAAGATTGAAAGCTAGGGTTTAACGTTATTTAATTTTTCAGGTTTTTGACTTTATTCCAGAGAGAGAAAGAGAAAGAGACTTACAGTAGTAGGCGACGAGGGGCTCGTGTTTCTGCAGTTCATCGGCTCGTTGAAGGTAGGGTAGCAAGAGCTTTGCCGGTTCATTGTCGCTCGCCATAGTCAAACCGTGTGAGAGAGAGAGAGTGGTTAATTCGATTTTGCCAAGAGCAGTCTAATGAAGAAACAGCTGCTTCAGTGGAAGTCGCCTTATACGACGCCGTTTGCTCAAGTCAGTGCTCTACACGACGTCGTCTTGTGTTATAGTTTGTATTATTCATATTTTAATTTTAATTTTTTTGCTGGGTAAAAAAAGGGGTGGGTCTTGCAAAATCTAAGGGTGCAATTTGGGTTGGGTAACTTGATTTCAATCCGAGCCCAACCCGAAAAAATTAATACTTGAACAAGGATTTTTAATATTTAGGTTGAATTTGAATCAAAAATTTCAACCCGAATTTAATTTGGGTTGGGCTCGGGTTAAGGCCTCGAATTCAACTCGAACCCAACAAATTAAAAAAAAAATTATATATATATAAAGCATTAGTACTGATTTTTTATTTTTGTTATATTGTTCTCTATCTCTCTCGTTCATTTTCATTTTTGTTCTAGCATTAGCATTGTTAAAAACTTGATTGAAGTTATTGTTCGTTAATTTAGGTGAATATTACGTAATATATATATTAAATTTAGAAGAACAAGTGTATTTTTAACTCTACTAGAACTCAATCCGAATTGAACCAGTAAAATAATTCGAAATCATTAATCTGAACCCGCCCGAATTAAATTTGGGCAATGCTCGGGTTAAAGAACTCAACCCGAGGTAGGATTAAAGTTAACGATTATATATATTAGGGTTGGATTATGGTTGATTGTCCAACCCGCCTGAATTGCACCCCTACAAAAATCTGATTTTTTGTATTATCCTTGATTAATACTATAAATACAATTGGAACCTTGATATTTTGCTCTTCTTGCCATCATAGAAGCCATGCGCCAATTAATGAATTGTATGCTTCATTTGGAGGGACTTAGTGAGCCCACCTTTCCCCGGAGAGGATGATCAAGAGGTATTTCATATGCTTAGAAAAGGGGTAAATCTCTATTTAAATTTTTTTAACGCCAGACTCCGCAAATCCCTACCCCTTTCCTCTGACACATCAATTGAGACAGAAGGGGTATACTTTTGAAGATACAAGAAAAGCTCGTAAATTGCAATTCAGACCATCTCCTTCCTTTGCCTTTCCATTTGAAATGAGAAAGCCTACAATCATACCATTAAGTGCAATCTGCAGAAAACATTCTGATATGTATACTCCTACGACAACATTCTTTTAGTGTAAGCTACAACGAGACACAATGAAAATCCACATTTCTATGTTATCCTTCATTCTTTTGCTTTTCCCTTTTTCCTCCTTTTATCATCTCTTTCGGGGAACAGGTATTTGCATTGAATTAACTTTCTCCATTTGATCATTTTACAGGAAACAAAACTTTGCAGTTGCACACAATTATTGGCGACCAAACTTTCAGGAGCATTCTCGTTGAGACAGTGGATATTGATGGCTGTAAATCAGAACTAAGGTACCAATACTGTATCGGTCACTCAATAATAGAGGCAGTAACTATCGCCATGCTACATGATCGGGGTATGGTAAAAACCAAGTCGGGTGAAGGAGGTTGCTCCAATTAGGGATCCCAAATAGATCGTGAGCACAAACAAAGAAAGCGAGCATGAGTTAGTTAGAGATTAATAGTTTAGTGCTAATATAACACAAAAAGCTACACAGTCTCTCTACTTTAGAAACACTCACTCTTCAAAGATTATCCCTATTCCAGCAACTAAGCTAGTAATAACAAACAGCAATTTCACAATGGTATAAACCTACAGATTCTCATATTTATCAGGGTGTGGTTGGAACAGGTTCAATGCCAGATATGTGCGAGGCAGCATCCTCTTTTGATATAGCAACATAGTTCACAGGAGCAACTGGCCTTGTGTTGTCCCTCTTCCCATCTTTACTTGTGGACCTGGAACCATTTTGATGAGCATTCAAAGAGAGCCGTCTGCTTGCACTTCCGTTTGCACCCCCATTTGCACGTGGGCCTACTACCTTCTTCGTACCAAGTGGTCGAGCAGGGCTAGGTGTTGCACCGAAAATAGCTTCTTGTTCTTTGCTAAATTGGTCATGGAACTTCTTCTGATCCTGTAACACCGAAATTAGTTCTAAGCTCATGTAAAAGAATGATCCATGTCACCAAAACTTTCAAATGTTACACAGAGATTTGACCAGCCAGACACATATCAGACATTTTGGACTTACCCTCAACCTCCTTTTCTCTTCTTCTCTGTCTTGCCTGAGCATTGCATACTCGTCCAGCATGGCAAGTAGAGGAACCCCGTCATAAGTGAATGATATGCCACGTTCTTGTTCCCATGTCCCAGTTTTGGCAACCAAGGAGTCAACAAGAGCTATATAGCCGGTAAATCAATCAATAACTATCATGAAAACTCATAAGGATAGCTATCAAGCAGAGATTACACACCCTGAATCAGATAAACAATTCTATAACAGTACAGGTAACATGTTTACTCCCAATAAGAGAAATCAATGCGATATAGAATCAAGCTTGAAATTATTATTCACAACTTGAAGCAAACTAACGCTCCATTTGTTTTCGGGATGCCTGTTGAGGCCTGAGGGTAGTGCTTAACAATTTGTCTTGGCTATCCCAATGGCTGGTCTTGCTTGACACAAGATTTCAATAGTTGAATTTTTAAGTGTCTATCCCAAGGCAAGCATAAAATCAATAACTCAAAACAGGCATCATCAATCATAGACCATTGGATAGCTCCAAAACCAAGGTAAATTTGTACGTAACAGAAGTTCTAAAAAACCTACATAGATAGATCCTCAGTAGATTCATAGCATATACTTTATCCAAAATGTATAACAAGTAAAGCTTAAAAAGCAGCAGAATGCAAAACTTAGTTGTGATAATGTTCAAAAAATGAAAAAGTTGGGATAATTTTAGGCTATCCCCTTACTGTGGCATTTACCTGGAATTTTGCTGACCAAGATCCGGGCCTTCTCAGCCCGCTTGAGATTTAAGTGTGCACCTCTGCTCGCATTATACCGGTTTTCATCCTGTTTCACCACAGCAACAGCAGTGGCATGTTAACACCATGATGGGAAAAAGTGATTTCACAACCTTACCGATGCTGAAGGACATGATCCCAGACCAATAAAGTCTGATAGGATCAGAGACGGAACTAAAGAGGGGCCTAAAAAATCCTCCACAGAACCCCATGCATAGTCTATTGTATTCCAAAATCAACACCCACCCACCACACAATGCCTTGGCCCCCACACTCAAACTTGGTAAGTAAGAAAGTACTAAAATAATACTACATTGCAAAGTTTACCAAATATCTTAATAAATAATGAAAAACTCTTTCACCAATACAACTCTCAGTTAGTAAGTCTTCAATGAAAAAAAAAGTAATTTTCTAATATGCCCCAATCCCACATAGAGTAACATAAGAGTTCTAATTTGTTTACAAAACAAAAACTAAAAACCATAAACCATTGCCCGAGAGAAAGGGTGTACAAGGTAGAAGTACAAGGAGCTTCAATGCACATCGATTTGTGCCTTCAACAGACTAATTCATGCATTGAAGAACAAAATAACAGGCAAAGGGAACCGAATCAAGTTGTTTTGTGAATTGATTTAGTAGATTAGTATTCTATGTTTATTTTCATTTTTATCAATAACTTTATTTATATAGATTTTTTATTTGATTTATTTTTGTAAATTGTGAATTTGAATATAAGAAGTATTAAATATATATATATATATATATATATATAAGAAGTATAAACATTATCCACGTTGTTGGTATGACTTTCTGTGAACAGAATTTGGACCCCCACCCCAAAAAAAAAAAATAATAATAATAATGATGAAATACTGGTTCTGTCCCCGGATAGGATTACCCTAACCAGCCTCATTAAATTTTGAAATATGGTGCATAAGCAAGCCACAAAAAAAAATAGAAACTCATGAGTGATGAAAATTATTCAATTCATCCA